TCTGCTGAAGACATTTGGAACTGCCTCTTTGCAAGTTTGCACCTGCCTGTACGGCACAATTTTAGCTTGTGGGTGGGGGGAGTTAAGGATCATTGTTTTAAATTTGGTCATTTCCAAACACTAGGAATCCACTTTCCAATGGGTAAATCTGATCTGACTGATTTCTTGCCCTCCATCCTCAGTGGCTATGGGAGGTTGAATAATGAGCCTCCAAGATATCTACTTCCTAATTCTGGAAACTGCCAATGTCACCGAGGACCCTGAGATGGGGAGACTTGAGGCAAGAGGTGGGGTGATGTGATCACAAACCAGGGAGCACAGGCAGCCAGCGGATGCTGCAGAGGAAGGGTGAGGGTTCTCCTGATCCCCCAGGGGGAGGGCAGCCCTGGGGCCGTTTGCTGGCCAACAAGGCCTCACAACACCCTGCCCCTACTCTATTCATCTACTCCTTCTAACCTAGTTCTTGCTGGATCATGCCAGACCTGCTCCCCACCATAGGGCTCTCCGCCCAACCAACCAGCATTCACGCCCAAGGACTTTTGTGTGTGCCACTGAAGGTGGCAAAGGGGTGGCAGAGAGCTTTGTGACTGAATTATGTATGGCTCAAGCTTTGGGCAGGGAAGCCAGCAGTAACCTTTGCCTCAATCTCTTTTCATGGATTGGCATAAGGATCTTCAGGTGGAGACCCCCACCTTGGTTATAGTGCTGGGAGTGGGAGATGTTAAAGCTGAACACGTGGAGGACACGTGGAGGACGAGAGTGTTACAGGGTGACATACCAGGTGCACGCAGCATCCAGGCCCCATCCACCCTGGTCTCGAAGGGCTGTAGGGCTGCGTCTTGCCCACCCCCCAGGAAAGCCAGGCTTGTGCCATTTGTGCAAAGATGACCCTGACAGGCCAAGGAGTTTCTTGTCAAGCTTTATTTGGCAGGTGACTTTTGCTCATTTTACTCAGATCTTGTGGGTTCTTGGGCAACTCAGGGCTTAGGGAGTTGCTAAGGCCTCGAATGGTGTTTCTCAGGCAGGTGACTTAACTCCAGCCGGGGTGGTAGGTCAGGGAGGTTAGTAGCGTCTTCTGCATCTTCTCCTCCTCCTTCTGCAGCCTTTTGGGAAAGAAAGTTCTGGTTGTGGATGGGTAGAGGATACCTAAGGAATCTGGGTGGGGCCGGGGGCTCCTGGAGGCTGCCAGGTGGGTGAGGGTCCTGCCTCCTCCCCTCCCCCTCCTCTCCCCTTCCCTCTCCCCCTCCCCAGACACCTCTCCTCCTCCTGTGTCTGCAGCAGCGTGTGTGTCTGTGTCTGCGTCTCCGGCAGGAGCGGCGCCGCCGTCTGTGGATCCGGTACAGTCTCCTCCGAGAGCAGTGCCTGTGCCTACGGTGGTGGCCTCGGTAGGTCCTTCCATAGACCTCAACACTCTCTGGGTTCTGGCCCTCGTCCTGCCCATGCCCTTCCTGCCTCAACCCCTGGTTCGCATGTTCGCTGGGGCTCCTCACACGGTACCGGACCATCGTGCAGGAAGGTGAGGTGGCTCCTAGGCCGAGGCTGCAGCTGGCCTTGAGGGTGGGGAGGAGGCCCGAGGCCTGCCCACCTGCTCTTGGTGTTGGTGTCGGTCTGGTTTGCAGGGTTACATGGAGCTTATATATAAAGGGGGCCCCCACTGTGACTTGGCAGCCCTGCCCCGGGGGGCCTCCCACTGTGACCTGGCAGCCCCACCCCCTTATTCATTGTCCCCACCCTGCCAGCCGGCCCTACAACCAGGAGGGTGCTGGCACACAGCTGGGGGTTGGGAAGGGCAAGAAGCCCCCCCTTTGCTTTGCCAATAAAACATGTCCCCATTCTCTTGTAGCTGGTGGGACCTCAGGTCACGAGGAAGAGTGCCAGCACTTTACTGCCAGGGCGCCCAGTGGGTGGGCATTCTCCTGTCATCCAGCAGAAGCTTCCCCACCTCTGTGCCACTGTCTTGTTTACATGGTACTGATGAATGTGGGCAGGACTTCCCTCTGCCCTCACAGCTTGCTGTCAATAACAGCAGCCCCCGGTTATCTAGTAGTAACTGCACACCAAGCATTGATTTGTCTTTTCACAAGTTCACTCATTCACACCTCACTGTTATAATCTGCTCATGGTCACCGTGCAGACTAGGGGACAGGCGGGCAGGAGTGCAGAAGACGGCACCTGCCTTTAGCCCAAACCCTCCACCCCTTCCCAGGCTGGACAGCCCTCTTCTTCTCCATAACCTGCTGCCTCTTCCCACAACCTGCATCTTCTCCCCTCTGACTCTGCCTACCTATCTCCTGGGCTGCTTCTGGGCCTTATACTTTGATGATCCCATTAAAGTCCAAAATCAGAATTGCAGCTACTGAAAAACTGGCTTCCCTATTGCAGACGGATGGGAGGATGTGGCAGACAGAATCATGCCTCTCCCCCACCACCCCGCCCCACAATGGCCACATTTTAATCCCCGAATCTGTGACTATGTTTCCTTATGTGGCAAAAGAGACTTTGCAGACATGATTACACAAAGGACCTGAAGAAGGGTAGGGCCTCCTGGGTTACCTGGTGGGCCCAACACAACCGTGGAGATGGAGGAGGCAGGCAGGGGGGCTACAGGAGAGACCAGAGGACGCTGCCCTGCCAGCTCCACAGATGGACAGGCCATAACCAAGGATTGTG